CAAAAAAGGGGGGGGTGGGGTGGAAATTCTGTGCCTTTACCACAGCAAGCCATGATCCCACCCAAGCATCAGCAGAGACCTGCAGCAGTCCTGGCATAACCACATAACCATCAGTGCAGATGCAGGCCCGCGTAGAGCAATCCAGTTCTGAGGCTGGTGGTGCCTTGTCTTTCCTCCTCTCTCTGAAAACTCTCAAGTCCAGCATGTAAACATTGCAGGCCCAATGCTTCTCTATTATAGTCAGCAGCAATGTTCTCACTAGTTGTAATGGGAACAGGTCATCCCCTGATTGCAGCAATATCTCCTTAATGAGCAGAAACTCCAGCAATTTCATCAGCTGTCACTACTTACGTGAACAAAGTTCAGCTTGCGCATGGCTCCAGTTGTTCTCATTATTTTTTGTGTGCACATTGCATTCTCTAATCATGGTAAAATTCTCCAGAACATGTTTTTAAGGTGACAAACTGACCACCAGCAAAGCACTAAAACCAATAACTTTTGTTTTCTAAGTGGGGCTGTACAAGAGCCATGAAGCCCAGCTGCCATTGTGCAGAAACATGTTTCGTCTGACTTGTCCCTAAGCATTAAAGCACCAAGTTTTATGTCTATCAGCCAAGAGCTGTTTACCTGGCAACAAATCATAATTGCTCATATTAAATCCAAAGTACACCAACACATTTTCGTAATTATTTCCAACACATTGCACAGACTTTGTCTGGTGGGCCAAGCAAACAAGTTACTGAGCTTGGATTACAACCCAGAGTCCTAGATTACATTCCTTGTGAATACATAGAAAACCTCCTGTTAAACTCGCCTTGATATGCTCCTGTTAATGGTGCTTCATTTAGCTAGGGATTTAATTGTTCAGGCTATAAAAGGGATACTCCTTTTGTGGCTTGTTTCCATGTCATGGTGTCACTCTAAACTGCATTCGCACTCATTCAGATTTTTCTGATTGTTCCTTTTCTTCTTAGAGCACCTTTCATTGAAATGCTGATAAAACATGCCCTTTCATAGTCTAAACCAGGATGTTACCAAGATTAAAAAATGAATTCTGCAAATTAAAGCCTAATAATTTTCTGGTGTTCGAGAAAGACTTTTGTTCTCCCTGTCTGATTTCTAGGCTGTAATCTCATTGGACCAGGTATTGCCTTGACACTTGCATCTCTTGAGGTAAGGTTTATAGGTGGCAGGAAAAGAGAGATTCCTGAGGAAGTCAGTCTCAAGTTGTGCATGCAAATAGCTCTTACCATCTCTGTGCTCTTCAAAAAACATTCTTTGGTCATATTGCTAGCAGTTGGACTCTTGAGCCTCACTGCAGAGAACTGGATGCAGCATATGGAGGAGATGACGTAATTTTATACCATAGGATCTTCTGAGGACTGGATATATTCAGAAGTGAGAGTCAGTAGCTCTGTTTCTGATCCTGTATGTTGTGTTTTTCTTCTGACTGGTTTGTTTCCTCCTTGCTTGCACAAGTGAGCTGAACTAGACTGCCAAAGGAGTATAGTCCCCAAATCTCCTACAGCAGTCCTGATATCTCTTTGTGTTGCAGCCCTTTCTCTGCTGATCCCTCCATTGGGACTCTTGGGATTGGTGACACCATGCAAGTAACAGTGGAGTTTCACCCGCTGAAGACAGGAGATCATTCCAGATCCCTGATAGTTCACTATGACACAGGTAAGTGCTGGGCACTGCATGGTGCACACTCTCTGCATCCTTCAAAATGGAGCCCTTTCTAAGCAGGATAATGTTAGGCTTGCTTTGCAGACAACCTCTCAAACCTTTTCTTTCAAAAGCTCTGCATGTTTTGGTGCTTAGAAATGAGCAGATAAGGGGCAAAGGCTGAGTCTGTCCTTGTTCTGTATGTCCCGTGCCACTGTGTTCTGGTCCATCCCTGGGGGACCCTGGTGTCAGCAAGGTGTTCTCCACCCAGCACCCCCCTGTGACAGTCATTTACCATCATTCCTTGTTGTCCCAGCCACCTTAATTACCTCTACAGGTGCACCTCCCTTGTCCTAGCTTTACCTCACATGGTGATTAGGGGATTGCTAAAGTAGATCCCATGAAAGAGGAATGAGATTTTGGAATCCTGTTTTGCTGGGAGTTGCTGAGTGGAAGAAGGAGAAATATTGATTCTCCATGGCAGTGTGCGTGTGCATATGTGAAGTTTTATTCCTAGACAATGCTATATTTGAAGTGTAACATGGGAAATGCATGTCTCTGTCAGACTCTCTCCAATGCCCACTATCTCTTACACACCTCTGTCCCATATGTGCTTCTCTGTTGTCTGGCCACAGACCCTTTTTTCTATGTTCCCCTCTACCCATCTACATTCCACACTTCACAACATCAGGACTCAAGTAGCCAGGACTTGAGGGCTCTTGGGATTTAGCAGGAAGTGCTCACTGCCTCCCAAGATAGGTGTAAAATTTATAGTAGGATATGAGAAACGAAGGTCAGGCCATAGAAATACTGTCAGCTTTATAAGTCACTTTAAGAGTAAGTGGGGGAAAACTCAAGAAAAAGGTGTGATGTCAAAATGCTTTTGTCAGCCTTGGTTCAGCAGAGGTATCTTGTGATGCTGAACAAGACACTTCCTCAGTTGTGTGAAAGCATTTGGTGTGCATTTTCTCTTGCCTGAAAGAGAGGTTTGTTTTGACCGTATTCCTGAACTTCAGTCCTGGGAAGTATGATGTCCTAATCTGGGTGCTACTGTGATGCTTTAGCCCAGCAGTGAACATGTTGTCTTGAGTTTGCAGAAGTTGTAAAGATGCTCCTATATTTTCCAAATGCTCTTTGTAGCCTTATGAGTTATCACAGCTTTGTTTAATATTTGTCAGTTAATGACATATTCACAGAGAATGGTTTATGCTCACTCAGAGCAGCTCATTGGTTTGGATAACACTTTCTTGAAAGAACTACTGAAATTTCAGATAGAGAAGCACAAAAAGTGCATCATATGTATGCATGTAGAGAATCTATAGGATAGAATTCAGAGGGCTAGATCTTTCTCTGTGGTAAATCAGGGTAAATCAGTAGTAACACTAGAGGTTAGGGCTGTAGGGTTTATACTTTGTGACTGAAAAGACTGAGTGAATAATTAGGGCCAGGATCTTCATGGCTTGCTTTGAAAACCTGAGTCTTGTTCTTACTGAAACACCTGGTTCCTCCATGGTTAATCTTTGCAAAAGTGATTTGTATGGATATGCCATGGAGATCAAACTATCTGCTGGCTCTGAGATGGGTGACCCCCCAGGATGATGTGCAGCTACCTGGGAGATGAACCCAGGATTCATTCCTGCCTGTCAGTACAACGCTGCAGTTATTTTTAAACAAACCATGGATTGAGAAGGAGAGCAAGGGAATAATTAAGGGATTATCTCTCTAGCTTTGAAGCATACAAATAAGTAAAAGGCTGCTGAGATTAATTGCTAAAGTGAAACTGAAACATTTAATCAGTCTTCAAAGCTGCTTATTGCAGGTGTAGTGCAGAGCACCAGATGATATTACCCCACCTTGCATGGCCAGCCCTGGCTAATTTGTCCTGTGCTAAGTCAGACTCCCTGTGACTTGCTTACAAAAAGCAGCTGTGTTGCTCTTTCAGAGCCACCAACAGACTGTTTATTATGAAACAGAAGTGCTAAGAGCAAAATAGCAGTTTAGGATGTTGGGAGGCATTTTCCGTGCTTTACTGTGTATCTTGTATCTTTACTGTATTGACTTGCTCAACTCACAAGTGGCAGTAGTTCTCAATGAATCATGCTGCTGTTAGTGTGACTTATGCAGGATCAGGTGATGTTACGTTGGTTTAATTTTTGCTGAAGTTGGGTTAAATCTGTCCCTAGCATTGCTTAAGCAAACACGGAGCTCTTCAGTGTGAATAAGTCACAATTTTCCCTTTTCCTATTAATTGGTTAATTTAAATTGTGCATCCTTTAGACTGTGCTGGTTAAGAATACAGGTGCTGTCCCCTGGATAGACTGTACATGTGATGGTAGTTCTGTTGCTACAAACTTTACAGATGAGTGTGAAGAAAATGTCTTTCTGCTAAAAGCATAACGATTTACAATGAAAACTTGATCTTCAGCGCTTTACATGTCCAAACTCCTCCATTTTCCCCATGCATGTGTGTCTGGGTGTGAAAAATCCCAGCCCACCCTGAAATGAAGGTGACTTGGGATGTTCTGGGCTACAGCACATCCCTATTCATCACCTTAGCATCAGATGATGGTATCGGAAGGGGTTTCTGAAGCCTGCATACCAAGCACACATACTGGTTTGGAAAGGGTTCTGCACTCAGGACCACTTGAAGGTCTGGTTGGTGGTGTGGTCCTTCCCAGGTGACTTTTAGCCCACCCCATGTGGATGTGGGAAAATAAGTTTATCGAGTAAAGTCTACTCTCAACCAAGTCAGTATTCATAAAGCTCAGGTGACTTTTAGCCCACCCCATGTGGATGTGGGAAAATAAGTTTATCGAGTAAAGTCTACTCTCAACCAAGTCAGTATTCATAAAGCTTAGATATTCTTTTAGCTCTCAAGCAGTTATCAAGTGAGATGCCCAAGCTGGTTGCCCTGAGTGCTGCTGATTGTACATCAAACCCAGTTTGCTGCAGTCATAACATTCATTGCAACCTGACAGTATAGCACAAGCTTCGCATGGGAGGGTGAGCTTTGCTCAGGAGCACATGGTTAAAGAGATGTGTGACAGCTTCCCAGAGCTGTGCGAGAGGTGCAAAACAAACTCACCAGTCCCATAGCACCCAGAAACAATAACATCTATGGCAGATGCTCCATGCAAGTAAAGGAGGCTACCAGGGACAGGAGGTACTGGAGAGGTGCTGGGAGTTGTGGAAGGAAAATCACCTCTCTGCTCAGAGCTCCCTAAATCCTGACTCACGTTAGACTACTGTCTCCAAGAAGTATCTACTATGGTATGATGGGTGGTCTTCAAGGTGTAAGACCAGATTCTGTGCTTGTATGTGGGTGCCCATAGTGTGCATGGGGCCGTGTGGCATGTACAACATCCTTCTAGTCTAGGAGATCTGTTGTGCGGTGCTGAAAGTCCTCTGTATGAGGTTTTTTTTTCCCATCAGTCACTGCATCCCTTGGGATCCCTCTGTCAGCACAGGAAACTTCAGTAATTAGCAAAGTCTCCCTGAGCTTGTGTGTGGCTGACACTATATATTGAGATGCTTTTATTGCTGTCAGTAATAACAGTAATTATGCAGATCGCTTTCCTTCAGTGGCTCTGTGAGACTGTAACGCAGAAGCAAAAGCCTGGGGGCAGATTCTTGCCCTCTTTGAGGGGAGAGATCAGAGCCAGTACTTGTATGTGAATTTTAGGAGACAGCATATCCAAGAAGAGCCAGCCCTCAAGCAGGAAT